CCCCCAATGGGCCCTGTCACTGCACCTCCCTGTGACCTGCAAGGACCACGGATAAGATGGTAGTTGGCTTGTAGTCCCTGACCTCTCTGCTGGCTGCCAGGCCGGATGATGGGTAGTGACGGAGGATCAGGAGGGGGACACCTGTCCACCCATGCTGGAGGGCAACAACGTCTCATTGCACATAGACCACAGAACAGCCTTCAAACAGCAACAACTTTCTGCTACCGCCACGCTGGGGCTGGCTTGAAATGTCTGACCTAGGCACGAAAGGCCTGGTGTCCCGGCACCAATGCCCAGAGCCATCACACCTCCCTTGGCATGTGCAAGGCTTCAGTGCAGAGCCCCGCAGAGATCACTAGACGCCTGCATCCCATTCATAATCCCAGTGCTTGCATAGCTGGCGAGGGGGGGGGGGGGGGGAGGGGGGGGGGACTATTTCAGTTTAGGACGAGGCCTCTAAGCTAAATTCCTCTTGTGACCACATCAGCATGTGAACACTCAAGGGCAGGGGGCCCCACCTCGCCGTCTCCTTCCTGGGGTGGTGGTGCCAGAGACAGAGTCAAGAGGGCTTGGTGCGACCTGCCTGACCGGAAGCCTACTCTCACCAAGACAGCGAGATGGAAGCATCCAGTGCGTCTTCATTTCCTCCTCCCCAGGCCCCCGGTGGGACCACCAGACACAGTCACCATGCCAGGGAGCTGTGTGCACTCGGTCTGGTTTGTCACGAGCAACGTTCTCCCTGCAAGGTGTGTTTAATTGTATTTATTTAATGCACGGCTCACTTGTGCCTTCCAGCCACTGGGCTGCATTGGGCAGCGGTGCCATGCTGCACTCCGCTCCTTGCCAGACCAGTCCACTGGCCAGTGGGTGAGTCATCAGCTCCTCTCGGCCCCCTGAGGGGCGCATGTACCACTGCCTGCACGAGCACTTGGGAGAGCACACAGACAGCCATTGAACAGGAGGTAAATGGAGGCAGGAGGTGTCCTGCTTCCAGGCTGCTCCCTTGTGCACCTGCGCAGTCTCTTGGGGGACATCTCTTGGCTTGTATTTAGGTAAAGCCCAAACTGAAGGTGCCCTTTTCATCTGAGTAGGCACTCCAGTTCTAGGCAGGATTTAAAACCAGCGCATGTTACCGAAGCCCTGAGGTGTCGAGGACCCGGGTCTGTTCCCCTCCCAGTCTGTGCAAGGAGCAGCCATCTGCTGACCTGTTCCCACTGAGTGCTGGTAGGTCGGGAGTGACACCATCTGATAGCTCAATATAGCCTTGGTCCCGGGTCGTGTCTTTCTCCCATGGAGCTTTGTTCCCTGTGGCAAGGTTTCTGGCCTTTTTCAATGTAATCTGAATTGCTCTCCCAGAGATGGCTGGAGATACGGGCATGAGCATATGCCACGGCCAGCAGTGAGTAAACGGAATCCTTATGTGAACATGAAGTCCCCATTCATTACTCCACAAATGGAGTTTCTTCTTTTAACGTTCTGGGCTTAGATCGTAAGCTCTCTGGGGTAGGGGGTTACGTCATGCGTCCGTACATCCCCTAGCACAATGAACTCCTGCTGCTCCTGCCATACAAATATAATAACAATATGGAGCTTGTTCCAACCAAGCCTTCGCTGTGCTTGCGCTCACACTGATTGACAGGTGCAAGTGGGAACGCCTGTATTCTTGTGCCTGGTTCCCAACCAGCCGCGTGGGCTGCACTAAATCTCGAAACAATCTAGGGGCCAGATCCATCGCTGGCGTAACTCGGCATAGCCCCCTTGAAGTCACTCCAGTGCTGCCCTAGATGTCCAGGTAACAGAGTGGGCTGCATTCTCTTTTACCTTCAATTCTCCAGGACTACTGTCCCCAGACCCAGCTGCAGTTGCTCCACTGTCTGCACTGGCTTGAACAGCTGGGTGAGCACCAATTGTGGCTAGGACGACCCCCAAACCAATAGCCTTTTACGTATATCCCACCCTTGGAGAAGAGTTTGCTTTTGTGCCTGCCTGCTCCCTCTCTGAATGAAAGATGTCACCCTCCTTTCTTATAGAGTACATAGAAGAGCGAGCTATTTTCCTACGAAGAAAAGAAAAGATTAACTCTTCAGCGGCTGGAGTCGCGGTGTTCAGAACGGATGTGCTAATGCACTGTGCCCAGGTGACCACAACAGGGGAGGCTTTGGATTGATTGAGCCCTTGCAGCTAAAATGGGACGGAAGCAACTTCAGGGGAATCATAACGCTCACGGACAAATCCACTTGCATTCAGAATATCCATCAGTTACTCGGAAGGGCCCAGCGCCTCAATATTATGGTGATGGTTGCGATAGATAGATAGATAGATAGATAGATAGATAGATAGATAGATATAGATATAGATATGGGGGGAGAGACATCTGGCCAGATGTAATGCCTCAGGATCAGGGTATTGCCAGGGATGGGATGGGTTGCAGAGTATCACCCCTTCGGCAGGACTGTATGAAGAGTTCATTCCAGAAAGGCACCGGAATCCGATTCAGGCTCCTCTCTCTCTCTCTGTCTCTTTCTAGCATTCACGTTTATTCTTTATTTGTCAGGTTAAGAAAAGGGCAGCACTGCAGCAAATGCACAGAGACACTGAACACAAGAGATTCGAACACGTTAGTAGCTGATGCAATGAGCCAGTTTCCCAGGTCCCTTCCAGTTCCTTTGCACCACCTGAGCAGCACTAGATCTGACTAACACTAGTACCTGAGCAGCCCGATTTCACGTGCTGAGAGTCCCCCAGCGTGGGGCGTTCTCAGCTGACACAGAGCCATTGTAACTGGCTCCTTCACCACCTCGCCAAGCCCCACTCTGCACTGGCATGGGGAGAAGATATGGCTGGAGTACACACTTCTCAGGCTTCCCTGAGAGACCATAGCCAGCTGGTGTAAGTTAGAACAGCTCCCAGGCTGTCCTTACCTCTGCCAGGGCTCAGAAGAGTGCAGGCCCTCCCTGGGAATCATAACTATCTCACTGAAAGGCCCCTTTCTTTGCAATGTCCAGGGGTAACTGAATATGAGCAAGTAATCCTACAACCCACGTGGATCCCAAAATAATCAGACCGAAATCCCCCCAAAGCAACAGTTCATTCACTCTCGCAAATCCTGAGCTGGCTGAGGAGTGTCCGGTCTCCTTAACTCACTTAAGGTGAGTTTCACTAGCTGACGCTGCCTATTTTTGGCGCTCACAAGTGCAGTGTTGGGCCAGATTTTCTTCTGCCGTGCACCTTTGTGTCGCACCATTTACACTTGTGCAAAGTGCGTGTAAAAATGCTGCCAGCTGACGAGGGTAGCTTTTCAAACCCATTTTGCACAGCTGTAAACGGCAACACGAGCTGCAAGGCTAGGAGGGTGACTTCACATCAGAGCACCCTCTGGTACATATCTTAGAAAGAGAACGTGCTGTGATTTCTAACATAGGGGTTGCTGGAGGGGCTGGGATCCTATCTCTGACAGTAGCCCAAACTGGATTCATCTACAGGAGGCACGGAACTGCCATAATGCACTTGAGTTTGCAGGTTTTTACATCATCGGAGCACATTTCTTCTAGATCCTGGCAAGTGAATCATGCAGTGGAGATTTCCAGCACATTTAGGTCTATGTCAAGACATCCTGTCACTAAGCTCACAGGGGCTGCCACATTGGAAAAGACCCCGCCCCAGTGGTCCATCTATTCCAGTATCCTGTCTCCGACAGCTAATGATAAAATGATCAGAAGGCGTGAAGCTGCCATAATGCAATTTGATATACCATGGTAGGAAATTGCATTCCGTTGGTGATCAACTCATATAATCAAACAAGAAGCTCGAAAACTCATAGGTTTTGTTATTGTTCACATAAAGCCCCATTCAACTCCCAGTGAAGTCACTAGAAACACTCCTATTGACCCCAGTAGTAGCTGAATCATGCCCACAAGCCCTGATGTAATCTTAATCAGATAGATAGCTAATACTTTTGAAAATTGCTCAGTTATCTATTTCAGTAATATCCTGCGGCATCCAGTTCCACAGATTAATTTTATCTCAGCTACCTGGCCCCCATTATTGTAGAAATGTCTTAGTCATTACCTGAGTATCTCACAATCTTTCATGTATTTATCCTCACAATACCCCTTTGAGGGCAGGGCTGTGCTGTTATCCCCATTGCACAGATGGGGAACTGAGGCCTAGTGAGATCAAGTGATTTGACCAAGGTCACAAAAGAAATCTGTGGCAGAGCAGGGATTTGCCTGCAGGTCTCCAAAGTCCTAGGCTAGTGCCCCTAATCTTTCCTTGCCATTTTTTCGGGGGGAGGAAGGGGAACACAACCAAGGATGAGGACAGGGGAGATAACTGTAAGATCTTTCCCATATTAAACTGTTCTGACTGTCCAATCCCTCCTCATAACTCCACAAACCCAACCTGATTTAAAAAATAGAAAAGTGGAGCTAATAATTCAACTTAGTTTCTGCGTTTCTCTGCCGCTCTGAGAGTGATGGAAACCTTGAGGTAGGAGACATCTTCCAAAAGGCACCTGCGGTTAGAAAGGCACCTGCGCTTAGATTATCTGATGGTAAGCAAAGGACAGCTACCTTGCAACTGAAGTGGTTTTAAAGTGCTCAGCCTGAGGGTGGGAATGTAGGATTTTAGCTGTGTTGCAAGGCCTTCTTTTCCAAGACTGATCGTATGCTGGATACGTTAAATAAGTATTTTTAAAAGACACAGTAGGAGATATTTTGAACCTGCCACCTTTGACCCGGTGTCCCTTTCAAGTTGCTTGAAATCATGATGTTATCATAGGATAGTGCGATGGACGCCTAACCAGCCACTCAAAAAATGCAGAATATTTATGTGCCATTCCACTCTGTTTGCGGACACAGTTCAGCACGTGGGTTGCAGTGGAAGAATAACAGGTCAAAAGGGGATAATATCTTAGCTACAGTTAATACAGAAAACAAGGCAAGAGACCCTCCGTAAATAAAACAAGCCAAAGCAGAAGGAGGTAAGGAGTTTATCTAGATTTTTATTAACAGTGTTTCAAGAGACAATAGAGGGTGGAAGGGGGGAGGGAAAAGCTGACACCATGGCAACTGCTGTAAAATTGTACAAAGATACTAACATATAGAATAGTCAGTTCCATAGTTATACTCAGTACAGATTGTAGAGGCAAAGGGGAAATAAAAAAAAAGTGTCACAAAGTTGTACTGAAAGCAGGCAAGTGAAGGAGGTTAATATGCGCTAGCGTATTTACAGCAAGTCCCTTGTACCCAGCCATTAGTGCGTCCGGAGCCTATTCAACAAACCACACCTGGCAGCTTTGACTTGGCTGAAAGATCCTCTTTCTTTCCGTGCTGTCTAGGTAGGAAGTGATGGAGTCTCAGGTCAGGCAAGAAGCCGGTTGGGCTTTGCTCCCCAATGGCTCGAAGGCCTTCATTCAGGGCGGCCAGTTAACATAACCTTGCACTGAGCCAAGCTTATCCCTCTGGGATCTATCCTTCCTCTGCTCCAGCTGTGGGTCTGACCCAGAGGGGGTCACATGTCACAGGACTGACACACCCTGACATTCATGTGCTGTTTGATGGACGCTGAGATGGTTTTATACAAACGGGGGTCGGTGCAGCGGAAGGGAGCTGCCTGGTTCTTCCAAAAATGCACCTTACTGGAGCACACGGATGTACAAACTAAACCATTCCCGAGCTATTGGGGAGGTGCTAAGAGCTGAGACCGCATCTAGGGAGCCCCGTGCTCCTTGCCTGGCTGACCCTTCTCTGCCATCTTACTCCTGCACTAGAAACCGATGGGCTCTATTTGCGCCCTGCAAACTGACATTCATGACTCGGCTACATTTAGGAACCGTGTGACTGCCCCCCACCCTTTCCCCTCCCACACATATCTGGCTGCCTGAAAGCCCCATCTTCCCACCGACTCCTTGTCTTTCAGCTTGAGAGCCTTATTCCCATACTCAGCAACTGCAGACTTCAGGGCTTGGACTGGTACACATCACATTCCTATGGAAACAGCACTCGGTATTTGGTATCTTTATTATTTTTTCTCTTGTCCTTTCAAACGCCCATTCCCCCTCTCCCTTCTCACCCAGTGCCCTTCCCCTCACACACCTTCATCATCACATCACTCCGCGCGCACACACACACACACACACACACACACACGCACAAGTTTGTCATCAGCTGATCAGTTGTTTAATATAACATTTAGTCTGTTCATGCTTTTTTGCCTTTGGATGAAAGCAGTGATGCCCCGGGGTTTAACAGACAGGACCGCAGCAGAATGGCACCACACAGCATTCCTGGCAGTCTGGAAGGAGACAGCAATAGCTGTGTCCATTAATCTGAGGCTATTGGAGGCCTCTCAGTGCATTTGTTTAGGAGTATCCATTTTTCATCGTGTGTAAATAACACTCAAATTTGCCAGTCTGAGATGTTGCAAATGTCAGAGAAATTCATGCTCAGCGCAGTCTCCGTTTGTCGAATCTCATGCTTTACAAGCATCAATATTTCTCCCCTTGACAGAATTATTGGAAGGAATAGCAAGGCACACAGACTCAGATTATCATGATTAATAATATTAAAATAATGTGTGTGCGTGCGGAGGGGGGTAGTTAGATGGCAATTTGCTAGTTTGTACACACGTTGAACAGGGAGTATAATCTCAATCTGCAAGTCTTTTGTACCCATCCAATCTAGAATTGAAGATGTGCTTAAAATGCAAAATTTGGATCCTCCAATTCAAGTATTTGGATCCTGGATGTTGGGTTGGCCCATAATATAGTTGGAACAAATATTCAAAGCTTGGCCCAGATCTCAAGCACCCCAAAAGCATGAGAATCTTCAATTTGGAGATCATCTTTTGGGCCCATCTATGTTGAGGCAACACCCAGGGTGTTGCTTTCTAGACAAAGGCAAATCTGTTAATGTTAATCGCAGTTGCAACCAAGTTACTGTCATGTCTGTAATGTACAAACTCTTTGAAAAGAAGAGTTATAAAGGAGGAATGACAGAAATTTTGGCATTAGAAATTTCAGCGAGGATTGTACAACACTCAGAGAAATGTAACCATATTTAAAGAGAAAAAAAATAACCCAGCGACTTTATGTCTAGACTCCCCTGTACACGTACTGGCTCTTTGCTTTGCCGAAAACAAACTTTATGTACAATTTCCCCAATATCCCTCCCTCCCAAGCCCCAAAACACGCGCGCACACACATTTCTCATTCCAAAAAAAAAAAAAAAGAAAAACAGAGAAAACATTGATAAATGCCTCTGAGGCATAGTTTTTTCCTGGAGAAAAACATTTTGTTTTAGAACCTGCAGGATTGGTGAAGTGTTCTACCCTATCTCAAGCTGTGAGGCATCAGATGCCTTGCAGTCTCTTTACACGCAAAAAGAAGAGGAAAAGAAAAAAAAGAAAGGGAAGCGGGGAGACGGGAAAAAAAAGTCAAGTTTAAAAAAATAGGCCCTAGTAATGTTACAAAAAAATCCTGACATTAAATACAGCCAAACTGTATTGAATGAAAATTGCACTAGTCCTCTGGGCGTCTCAATAATAAATTAAATACTTAACAATTTCACCGATTAAAAAAGACAGCACAAAATCCATAACAAAAGAACATAAAAAACCCAATACTGTAAGTAGGAAAAGTGCACAAAGTTGCTTTATACATTGACTCTAAATAAAGTACCGATACATTTTAAATAGATAAATTGTCTTGCCAGACATACTGCTTTTTGTGTCAGTATTTACATATTCTTTAACCACGTTTACTGGGGCAGTGAGTGGTTCCAAGCTTGTATGTGCCAAACCGTACACTGTTGTTTTGTATTGTTCTCATGAGTCACTAATGTCGACTGTGAAATAAAATGGCCTGGAGTGGACAAGCTACGCCTTCAGATCTCACTGGTTTATAGAAAAGATCAGTCAAATTTCTAACTCCTCTTCAGAGTCAGAAAACTGATTGGAGCCGATTAACAGGCAACGCATGAGGAAAAACGTTTCCAGCAACCACCAGGCTGGGTATCGTTAATGCAGAGCAAGAGCAGGATGTTTAATGATCAACATGTTGCCTTTTCTCTTTGGAGTGTCCTGAAATTTTCTAGTTTTAATTCAATCTTGTCTTTTTCTAGAGGAGGACATGGCTTGAAGGGAACCACACGCGGGAGAGCAAATGTACTGTGCAGATTAGCCTTTCTATATAAAATGGGACAGGCTGGGATAATCAACGAGTCTTAATTACAGAGAAGCCGCCTCGTTCCTAAGCCAAGATAAGCAGCAGATATTCAGCTGCACGTTGGTTGGTTCCTGCGTAGTCCTGAGCCCAATCTAGCAAAGCACAGAAGTACAGGCTGAAGTTTAAGCAGGTGAGTATTCCTGTGTCGCTGGACTGAAGGCAGAGTGCTCAGCACTATATATATATATAATAGTTTCACGGTAAATTGAGGAGGGCAAGGGAGTTTCACTGTCAGGCAGCTTCTTAAACCATCACAGATCTGCACTGATGGCAATACCATCAAGCAGAAAATTTCACACCAAGGAGTTGTGAGTCCAGGGTTTTGCTCAACAGGTTTCTGATCTTACTCACACTGAAGTCAACAGCAAAATTCCCATTGACCTCAGTGGGAGCACGCTCAGGCTGTAACTCAATCGGAGGTGTCAAAGGAAAAGGTGATGCATAGAAGAGGCCAGTCAGTTTTCAGGAGGAAGCTGTTTACATCTAACGTGATTTGGACAGGTGAGAAGGCAACAGTGTGGAGTGCAGCGAAATGAAAGGTTACGAGGTCAGGCACCAAGAGAACCATATACTGTTAGTGGTTCTATGCTGAAAACGCCGAAGCTGAAGTGGATGAGGGAAGTGGAGAAGTGCTGGATCAAACCCGATAGCCTTCAGCACCCCGCTTAACAGAAAACAAGAACCTTAACGGAGGGCACTGTACGTGCAAATCAAAGGGAAACATTCCAACTCCACAGGAGGCCACCTCTGCCATACTGTGTGCACTTCTAGCTACAGAAGACATGATTGATACTGGTGTAAATCTGGCATCACTCCACTGACTTCAAATGAAGTGACTCCAGATTTACACTAAGATCAGAATCTAGTCACCAGGAAGTTATCCCCTGAATTACAGGGACTAAATATCAATGTCCATTCTCTGTACTTAAAAGGTAACAAGTGACCATTTCACTACAAAGGGCACAATTCTGCAGGCTTTACTCATGAAGTCTATGGGCGTTTTGCCTGAGTATGGCATGAGCAAAGACTGCAGTGTTTAGCCTCTAGTAAGTACCACCATAGGCATCCTAAAGCCTTTCCTCAGCACTCACTCAGAGGAGGGAGGACTGCCTGAGTATGGATTGCATAACGGTGTCAGAACCAGGCGCTGTGTGCTTAAAGGGGATAGTGCAGGTGGCCTGAGGTTTACTGTGGGCCCCACCAAGTGTACAGGGCAGGAAGACAGCACGACTACGTAAATGCTGAAGACTCACATAATCCAGCTTTGGTAATGGCATGTTATATAAAGAGCACTGGCGTGATCTCTGTACTCAACAGGAGGGAGTGTAGATGGAGAAGGGACAGTGAAGGGCTGGAGAGAATAGGTTTTTATACTGGGGGGTGGAGCGGGGAAGTCATCCAGAGTCTGCTCCACTGGTAATCTGGAGCAACTCCAGCAAACTCAGTAGGGTTATTCCAGATTTACAGCACATGGGTGTAACTGAGATGGGATCTTGGCGTTCCGGGAGTGGCCGTCCCACAGTTTCGAAGGGAGCAGACAGGAAAGAAGCCATAAGGGAAGACAGGAAGTGGGTGGCACACCTTCAGGACATACTCTGCCCTACTGACGTCAGTGGCAACGCTTTCCTTGACTTCCAAAGGAGCAGGATCTGGCCCTTTAGCTGAGAAAGGAACTAAAGGAATTGGGTGGCGTTTCTTTACTGTTCTAGCCCTGGATGAGTGCACAGATTTGAGTGGAACCTGCTTGCTCGTGCTGCACCTGAGGACAGAAATATGCCCACAGAGCGCAACCAGAAGATGTATAACTTACCAAGGGCAGCAGCTGGTATGCGGAGCAGAACTTTTATTAAAGGAATCGGACAAGTATTTGATGGAAAGAAATATTACGGTGTATCACTGCTAGCTTAACAGAGGGGATAGGGCATGGGGAAGTCTTCCTGGTCTCTTGTGTTCCTGATTAAGAATTTCATCCTTCAAGATCCTGAGCTTCTCCTGTTAGGCACCGAGCGCCCCCAAATCCCATTGACTTGAATGGCATTTGGGGGGCTCAGCACTCAGTGGGACTGGACTCTTAAAGGAGCCCAGTGAGGCTTTCCATGGTCATGCACAGTCACAGGTTGGGCTTCCAATTTTATACATGATCTCCAAGCCCTCTGCAGAAATGACAGCGTGGTGATGGTATCTCTGCCGAGACACCGGGAGCACGTCAGAAACACAGACCATAAAATCCAAAGTGGCTCTGAGTAAAAACAGGTCCCCCCCGACTCCCGCAAAAAAAGAAAAACCAAAATAGTCTTGCCAGTAAATGGAAATGGAGCAATCCGGATTCCCTGGAACTGCTGCAGAAACGCCCTGCTCGCATGCATCAGCATGAGGGACGACCGCATTTAGGGACACGCATACAAATAGAAATCCCCTTCCCAGAAAGGGGCGAAGTAGGAAATCTGAGCAGGGAAAAAACCCAGCTGCTTGAGTTAGCCCCTCAGGCTGTGGGCGTCTGATTTTAGTTTTCTTCCCTGGCACAAAGCCCATCGCCGGCGACGAGCCTCTCCTGGCCACAAAAAATTAGCCCCACTGCTTCAGTAACACTAAACACATCGCACCCTAGTCCGGGAAGCAGCTAAGCTATGGCTTTGACCAGCTAGCTACTGTTGGCTTAAAAAAGGGAGCTTTGCTGGTTTAAACCTGAGAGCATGTAAGGTGGGCGGCCATGTCTCTCCTTCCTACCCCGTCCCGTGTGCCTTTTGCAGCAGAGGATCTCGACCTGCAGCTTGCCTCCTCCAGACTTAAGAGGCCCCCGCGTTAGCATTTGAAACCAGATCTGACAACTTCCAAACCTTGCAGTCACCCCATTTGCTAATGAGTACTTCAAGTTGCTGAGCACCCTTGATAAGAGAGGGCTCCAGCAACAGCACGCCGTCCAAACCAACGTTGTTCAGACGATAATTCGGTGTAGGGCCGATCTATAGCGCTACAAATACACAGCAGCTTCCAAGCATATCATCCAGCTGTATCGTTGGTGATTTTCTTCTGCCGATAAAGGGTTTTCTTTTCTTTTTTACACTAAACTCGTGCGCTCCCCGCACACTCAAACCCACGAGCCACGGTCTGTGGTGTGCCCTGAATCTCCTCCTGTGTGAAATTGACCGTCTCTAGTCAAGCATGAGAATTACACACTAACAGGAAAGTCCCTCTCCTTCCTCTGTGGCTCTTGGCCTATCTGCCGTAGGCATCAGAATCAGGCCAATCTGCAAGAAACACCAATATACACCAAAGGTGGGGCTCAGGCGGCATTCTTGAATTCAGCCCACTCAAGACAGCAAAGGAGAGGCAGGTGGGGAGTTGTCACTAACACTCATCTATATTAAGGCTGATGAACTCCTGTATACACTTCCTGTACTGGAGTTCAGTGGGGCTGTTGCTGGGATATTGACCTGGTTGTCCGAAGGGGCCCTCGGCTTCTCGCATCTCCTCGTTCATTCGAGCCAGACGCAGCCTAGAGGGAGAAAGAGGGAAAAATGGAGAAGAGGTTTTATTATCCTTTCCTGACTAGGCTGGAGATTGCTCGCAAAGCAAGGCCTAGCTCCAGCCGCAATATCCCCGAAGGTAGACAACACTTACAAGGTGACTATGTCTGCATTGGCTGCCTGGACTGCAATGCTGAGGGGGTCTTGGCCATCCTCGTCCACTGCGTGCTGGTTGGCGCCTCGCTTTAGGAACAAGCAGACCTGGCTGAAAACGGGAAATGAAAGACGTCAGAGCAGAAATACAGGCTCCTGGGCCGGGGTCCGAACCACAACAGCGGCACTGTGGGGCGCTGTGCTTCTCATGGCTAGCCTGCTCTCCTGACGGGGAAGAGCTCCCGCTCAGGCCAGTGCACAGGAGCCAAGGGTGTCAGAGCGGCAGCCCATGTGGGTCTCTGCACGAGTGACAGTGAGTGAATGGGGGACCCAAACTCCATCGCCCACTCAGATGGCTCTAGTGGCTAGTGACACCAGATCATATGCAGTATGGCCGTTATGCCCCGTGCTGGCCCTCGGCACAGGGGTGAATTTCACCCCAAAGGGATGCGTCCTCAGAAGCAGGGGTGATCACACTTTTTACCTAACTTCAAACCCACCCAATCACTGCATGACTGAACCGAATGTTCAACTCGAACTTTAACATTAGAGGATTCGTCCAGGACACGCTCATAGAGCACTCGGGGGAGCAGGGAAATGGGAGCAGAGAAGCGGGAAGAGGACAATCCACAGGGTGAAAAACAGAGCTGAGACTGGAGAGAATTTGGGGCAGGGACTGTCTCTATTTGTACAGCACCTTGCACAACTGGGGTCCATGACTAGGGCTCCTACACGAACAATAATAATAATAAATGCACCGAGCAGCTATTAAGAGCAGAAAGAGGAGAAAGAAATAGTCTAATAAAAATAAATCTATGCTGGGCCTGGCTCTCCTTTCATTTATACTGGTGTAAATCAGAAGTAACTCCACTGAAGTCAATGGAGAGAGACAGATCAGAGTCAGACCTACGGCATATAGGGCTCCATTTATGCCAGCCTGGCTTTATACTGGGGAACTGGGTTCTTCTATCCTCAACACACCAAACAGGTTGTTATCCAGTAGCTAGAAAAACGTGTGATTTTCAAATAGCTGATTCACCAAAACCCACCAGCCCACCGGGACTCTTGGGTCGACCCAACCTGTGGGCTCAGGGGTGTGTTTGGAGAGTGAGGGAGGGACTTACCCAGTGTGTCCCAGGTACGTGGCGTGGTGCAGGGGAGCCCGGCCCCGGATATCTCTTTGGTTAACATCTGCTCCGTTCTGGAGTAAGAATTCGCAGGCTATCAAGGAGCCCTGTTTAGAAGAGGGAGAGAGTTTTGTTGGGTCCCGTTGCACTGCTGGATTGCTGATAAAAGCCCAGGCTGCTCCGGGGAAGAGTCAATCCCATCTCGGGGCTGCCCCACCAATGTCAGGCATAGCAAGAAAGGGAAACCCCCAGAATAATCCATTACAATCGGAGAGAGAGACACACAAGAATCAATGTCCCCAAAGCAGCTCCAGAAGGGTCTCCCTCCTTGTCTAAGCAGGCCAGACTCTCTGAATCCTCATCTGATCCCTTCCCCGAGAAGGAAAAGCTTCATTTCAGAGGGGGAGTTTCTAATTAGAAACAGCCAGCACTGGGGTTGGTACCAGGTGACGTGCACACGGGTGATGTGCAGGCCTCCCTCTGCCAATGCACCTTGATCTGGACTTCTGCACCCCCCTGCTATCCCAGTGCTGGCCCTCACCTGCCATTCTGCCAATGCACCTGAGTCCTGGGCTGCAACACCCGCTTTGATTCCAGTCCCAGCACTAGCCGCTTTGCAGTGTGAACAAACAGCCTCTAGTGCCCCCAAACTAGGCACTTGGCATCTGAGACTGATTTAAACATAGGACTCTAGGGCATTAACCAGCTGTATTATCAGCTTTGCTGAACCAGCCCCCCAGCCTCCTCCAAGGTCTGCGTAGTCAGTGCTGCCAATGCTACCTACCCCCATCACAGCTTGAATCAGAGGAGTTTTGTTTTCATCTTCATCATTCACCCAGTTGACCTCAGCCCCATGTGCCAGAGCCTCTGCCATGACAGGCAAGTTCCTGGCCTGTGCGGCCTTGTAAATCAGCAGGCCGGGGTGCAGCTCCCGCAGGTCCTCCAGGTCCGAGGCCTCCTGCTCTATCTCCGCCTCGCCGCTGGACTCCTCCGACACTTCGCACTCTGGTGGGGGGCAGGGAGGGGACGGAGAGAGAGGAGGGATGAGCCAGCGACAGACACCATGTTGAGCTTTGCCAAGGGGGCTCCCACTTTCCCATTTCTTATGCTCCCTCCTGGCCTTAGTGCCATGTTTACTGATGGGGCTCATGCCCCAAGTGCACTGGGTGAAGGGATGATCTCTTCCCCTCCTGGGGACCCCTGGCAGGAATGGAGCAACTGCCCCCACCAGGGAAGAACCCGGGCAAGGCGTGGGCAACTCTTTGGAGAACCTCCGGGAGGACTAGGGGATAACATCTTCCCTCTCTAGAGAGCCCGGGCATAAAGGGTGGGAACTGCTTCTTGCTCTGGGGCTCAGGGCACGACACACGGGGCCACTCCCCTTGGCCACGCTGTGGGGAGATTACCACCCCCCTGGAGAGCTGACGGCCCCTCGGGGATTGTTATGGAGGTGCGTTGCTTGGCGAACCCGTTCACGCGAGTGCCCACACCCCAACGTTCTGGTCAGGCGTCCCTTAGCACGATGCAATGCGGCGTGTGCCGACGAGGCGACGCTGAGGCCTGTCTGCCATGGCGCCGGGCCTGCTGCGTCACTGTCGCTGGCCGCGTGTCACACTCACCTTCCTCCGTGACGCTGTCCACCACCGAGCCGAACACCAGGACATCGGTGCTTCCGTCCGTGCTGCCGCCCAGCCCGCTGTCGCTACTCAGACCTGCGGGGCCAACAGAAGACAAACCAAGATCGTTTTAATATGAGGGCAAACTGCAAAGCCTGCTCGTGGTGTCGCAGGGCACCCATCTCCCCGGGCTGCCCCGCGTTCACGGAACGCTCCAGCCTTCTCCGTTGCATCTCCTTCAGGCAGGAGCCCCAGGAGGGGGGCCTGGAGGCTGTGAGGAGAATGGCAGGCAAGGAGCAGCAGCAGAGAGCGCTTTACAGCAGGACCTGCGGTGTCAGAAGCCAATAATGACAATGCTCTGCTTTTACCCTTAGCTGCCCCAGCGTCGCCCTCCTGCGTGCTTTCCCACCACCCTGCAGGAGTCACTGGCATGTGCTGACCCGTCACTGCCTGTGGTGGGTTCATTGGCCAGCTCCCCGGGCCGTTAGTTTATATTGTGCTTCACATCTGCCAGGAGCCGCCCCTCCGCTAACGAACCCCTGGGGCTGCTAAATATCCCAGGGTGGGCAAACACGTCACAGAAACTGAGGTGCAACGAGATGAAGCGACTTGACCAAGGACACACAGCACCTCCATGGAAGAGCCCTTTTGCACCCTGCCCCCACTTCTGCGGAGGTGGCAGCTGAGAAAATGCCAAGGGGGCAACCACCGTGGCCGGGAAGAAAGGTCTCCAAAGGGATGCTGCCCCAACCAGGGTGGGAGTGAGCAAACATTGGCATGTTGCACTTGTTCTGTAGCACGCCGCACCCCGTCAGGAACCCACACCGGGCTCCAGCCGAATTTCATTAGCATATCATTACAATGATTCAATATTACAATGAATGGTTTCTGCTTGTTGCTTTGCTGGGGGTGGGGGTGAGGGTCTGAACTAGCACCCCCTGCTGGTCACAGAGAGGGGAATCTACCTCTGCAAAAGCTGTACATCCCCCTCCAGCGCTGGGAGGAAGAGCAGCAGCAGGGGCTGGAACTGAGGTGCAGGTCCCCAAGAAAGTCTCCCCTCATCCCCATCCACACCTCAGAACTCATCATGACCCCTGCAAGGCTCCCTTCACCCTCCAAACCCCATACCCCTTCACTCGCCCATTACTGGCTCCAGGCGTGCACAGTGGTAAAGAAGAATCGCCTCCCCGAGTTTGTAATGAAACTCGCAGCTCAGGGGCCTAACCCAGCTGGCGGGGGCACTGCTGCAGCCCCCGAAGGGTCACATGCCAGTCAGCCTGACCCTCCCCACTAAGCCAAGCCCAATCCCTTGTGTTTAGACAGGATTCAATCAGACAGTCTCCGACACTTTGCCCCTTACACACAGCCCCCAAAACAATATTCAGTGAACCCCGCAAGGACCATGGCTAATGTACGAAGGAGACACCAGCTAGCGTGGAATGCCAGGGCAGAGCGAGGCGCTCGACTTTTAAGGAGAAGAATCCCTGTCTTCGAGCGCACTGAAGTCTATGTTTGTAGTGCCTTGTATAATGACTGGTTTCAGAGTAGCAGCCGTGTTAGTCTGTATCCGCAAAAAGAACAGGAGTACTTGTGGCACCTTAGAGACTAACCAATTGATTTGAGCGTAAGCTTTCGTGGGCTACAGCCCACTTCATCGGATGCATAGAATGGAACATACAGTAAGAAGATATTTATACATACAGAGAACATGGAAAGGTGGAAGTAGCCATACCAAACTGTAAGAGGCTAATTCATTAAGATGAGCTATTATCAGCAGGAGAAAAAAAACCAAAACTTTTGTAGTGATAATCAAGATGGCCCATTTCAGACAGTTGACAAGAAGGTGTGAGGATACTTAACATGGGGAAATAGATTCAATATGTGTAATGACCCAGCCACTCCCAGTCTCTATTCAAACCCAAGTTAATGGTATCTAGTTTGCATATTAATTCAAGCTCAGCAGTTTCTCGTTGGAGTCTGTTTTTGAAGCTTTTCTGTTGCAAAATTGCCACCTTTAAGTCTGTTACTGAGTGACCAGAGAGGTTGAAGTGTTCTCCTACTGGTTTTTGAATGTTATGATTCCTGATGTCAGATTTGCTGATAATAGCTCATCTTAATTAATTAGCCTCTTACAGTTGGTATGGCTACTTCCACCTTTTCATGTTCTCTGTGTGTATATATATCTTCTTACTGTATGTTCCATTCTATGCATCTGATGAAGTGGGCTGTAGCCCACGAAAGCTTACACTCAAATAAATTTGTTAGTCTCTAAGGTGCCACAAGTACTCCTGTTCTTTTTATGTTTGTAGTAAGTGCTCTTTTTCCCTCCTGGAAAGGGTAAAACCTTCCGCTCCAGGTTCTACTGGAGTTACAAACCAAAGGAGAACCTTCCAGCAACATAGGAACCCGCCAGACTGGATCAGATCTGAGGCCCATCTAATCCAGCGGCCAGCACCAGACGCAGCAGAGGGAGGTGTAAAACAGATGTGGGATAATCTGCCCCTCACATTAGGTCTCATCCTCATTGCAAATAATCCCTGAAATATGAGGTTTAATATCCCGTCCAAAAATTTGTTGTCATTAATTATATTCTTGTGATAGACACAAAAACATCCCATCCCTTTGTGAATCGCTAGCAGAATGGGATGGTCCCGTGGAGATATGGGCCCAAACCAAAATCTCCAGGGCTTGGATATACCTGAATTTAGGATCCAGATCCAAATCAAGATGCAAACTGGGCAACTTGGGCCCATCGTGACTTCCAATGATAGGAGTCAGTTACTTCCACTGAGTTAACCCACAACCTCTCACTTCAGGATTTGGGGGCTGGAACAACTGTTTAAAGATGCAAACAGGACACAGAGACCTCTCAGTGATGTCCTGCTGCTGGCTTGGCTTCCCTTTAAATGCAACTGCATAAGCAATTTTTCATTCTGAATAAAGAATTGGCCAGGTTAAAAGCAGGCTTCTGATCTTGCAATTCCCTTTCAATAGAAAATTATACTAAGACTTGGCAGTGTAACCAATAAAAAACAATTGCAAGAAAAATAAAGAGAAAAATCAACCACCGTTAATTTATAAATGAAGTCATTTTGTGTTAAACATTTTGTTCCAGCTGTTGACCTGTTACATCAGTGTAAAACCAATGATGTAAGTGGAATCACTCCAAACTTAAACTGGGGTAACGGAACAGAATCTAGTCCAAATCCATAGACATCAGGCACTTTATTCTTCGTCAGTGCTCTTGATATGCCACTGGGAAATTAGTAATAAATCGCTTTTAAGAGTGACACATATATTTTTCATGGAGAGATGAACAATTTTGTCAAGCGTTTCTGTTTAGTATGCACAGCAGAAGAGTAAGGTTTGATTTCGTACTTGTTTAACATAAAGAACAAGTATTTACAGGGGTGGCTGATTGATTGTCAATCCACTGTCACTTTCTTGTACACTAATGGTGGAAGGCTGTAAGAGCTGCTAAGCGCTTCCCACAGGGCACTTTGCATCTTGCAGGATCAAGTCCCAAGTCCTTTTCCTGTATAAAAAATGATGTACTCATAAAAGTGGTGGTGTAATAGCATCATCCAGAGCCAGGAACGACAGGGGCAAGATCTTGCCATGACACACACAAAAATATTCCAGTGCTGGCGCTCCCCTGAGCACAGGGTGCCAGTTAGGTTGAATAGTGCTGCATGGCAGATTTGTTATAGGGACAATGCACCCTTAGACACAAGAGCGAGAACATCAGATTCATTTCACTTGTGATCTTGAAGCAGGATTTGAGTCCTAGTTGTCAGAGGTGCCCAAAGGCCTGGGAACTCCTGGGCCATAACTACAGCAGGGAGGGAAATTCTTAGCATATAGTTTATTTGGTGAATTTTGCTTCTTTTCCTTTTTTTTCCAAACTGTCCCTGAATAGGCCCCAAGTTTCTCAAATTTCTTCATTATTCAAAATAATTTCTTGAAAAATGTCAGTGACTAATCCTTGGTCCCTGGATTGCTTTGGATTAGTTCCCTGCAGGTAATGGATATCCAAAAGGCAAGCTGTTTGGATTGGATTAGGTCCCAGAGGGTGTTTCTGTCTCTTTACTCTTTGGATCAGGTCTCCAGTGTAAGAATTAAAATGTCATCTTGTGTGAATATTATGCAATGTGTCATTTTCAATGTGCTGCTTTGACAAATGTTCCTGCCAGCAAACTCCTCGCCGTGTTTTGTAGAAAGCGAACGCAAAAGAGAAGCGAATGCAGCCAACCTAGGCTAGTTTGTTAAAAATGTGAACCAATATTTGAGGAAAACTGTTTACAGTATTCGCCAGCTCTGGCCAATAAAAGCCCAGGTTCTGCAATCGGATACACACCTGTGCCCGTGTGCAATCTCTTTGGCTTCAGCAGGATTCTGGATATGTGCCGGGGCAGAGGTCTGCCTCCATAGATATGAGTGGGGGATTAGGACCATGTGCACTAAGGGGTGGACTTCGTTCTCAATAACATCAGTGCAAATAAAGTGCAACTCCAACGAGGACAATGGAATTACTCCAGATTTACCCCAACGGAGTGAGCGGTCTATGGCATGTCCACAGAATCTGCCAAAGCACTCAGCACTAACCTGACTCGGCTCCCCCGGAAGCCAGTGGTAAAACTCCCATTGCCTTCAACGGGAGCAATGTTAGGACAACGCTGAGCACTTTGGAAGAGACCAGCGCTAACCATGATGGTAAAAGGATCGTTTCAGTTTAGCTAAAAATTCTGAAGCCAGGAGTTCTCTGAAAAGTAGCTTTTCCTGCTAGTTGCTCTGGCATCTTTAAAGCCCGGACTCAGCAAAGCACTAAAGCTGGTGCTTAACTGATGTCAGTGAGACTTAACGTGTACTTTAAATTAAGTGTGTGCTTTGCTGAATCAGAGCCTAAAAAACTTCAGCTTTTTGTCTTAGTAGAATGTCTACCTATCTATCTCTGATCTTCCTAAGGTATCTATCACAGTGCTATCTGAGTTCCAATGATGTGATTGCGAAAAATACATCTAAGTTTTGGTTGGAACAAGTCATATCTTTGGGGCTCTTTTGCTGCTAGCTGCTATGGTGTCACCTTACCTCCGTCCAGGAGGAACGGCATACCGCTCCCACCGGGACCAATGCCACTCCAGGGGCCAGCTGCCAGCGGGTGCTGCATAGAGATGTAGCTGGCACCTAAGAGGAAGGTGGACGGAATGTGAGGGGAGTTAATCGTCACAAACACACACAAAAAAGTTAGCAGTAAGACTTGCTAAAAAAAAAAAAAAAAGAAACAGCTGGTGAAATGCACAGGTTGGGGGTAAAGAGCGCGAAAAAAATCCCATTCACCAAAATACAAACGCCTGGGATTGACTGGAAAGAGATTAAAAAAAACAACCAGTGGAATAAAAAGGGCAGTGGGTCGGGGTTTGTGCAAGTAACTCCCCATCACTCTCTTGAAACATTTCCCCCAGTGTGTGTGTGATTTGGTCACTTCTCCGGTGAGACAGATACCTTGCCGTTGGTCGGGTGCAATGCACATGCCCTAGAAGAGGTGGGAGGCAAAGACGTGCCAAGAGGAGAGCTGTGTTATTTGTACTTACTGCGGGGTCCTGAGCCGGCGCCGGTGTCAAAGTACGAGAAGAGGGAATCCAGCTCGTCGGGGCAGAAGAGAGAGTCCCGCCGGAATTTCCTCTCCAGAGTGGCAGCTGTTTGCAAGGAGGGATTTTTAAATATGGTGGAGGAAAAAAGACAATCCCATGGTCACATTTGTACAATCTGAGCCTGCACGTCGAGCGTGCTTCAGAAGTGTGCAAATCTATACAGATAACAAACAGGGAGCATGGAAGAGGTGGTAAAATCACCACCATCCCACGACATTTTGGGCAGTTGGTAACCCTAGGACTGTATTCTGGGCCAGATGAGTAAAAACAATAAAGGAGCTTGAACCTAATGAATGAACAGAAAGTTGTGGTATAAAGGAAGCAGAATAAGGGGCCTTCTGGTCACCTCAGTGCAATGGTCCCATCCTCTACTATTAAGAAGGTATGTTAGGAAGATACAGCTTGTTAGGAAATTCCATGGGTAACCTGCGCAAAGGACATGCTTGTGCAGTAGCATTAGGTCTTATAGCCTCTGCAGGCTGCAGCCACTAGGGGGAGACAGGAGCACAGACACTTTATCAGATCTACCTACAGTAGAGGAAAAAATCTGTTAGTCTTTAAGGTGCCACCAGACTCCTTGTTGTTTTTACAGTAGAGGATGGCGTTGTGCCCACACACACACACACACACACACACACACACACACAAAGGTGGGGGTGGAAAGGCAGCTGCAGCACAGTATATAGGAAAGAAAGGAGGGGAATGAGTTCCCACCTGATGAGAGCGGGGCCGGCGATGCATTTCCTGCCTCATGCCGGTACTTCCGACGAGCCGTAGGTGCTTTTGTGGTGCTGTTGTGCCGCTGGCATTTCTTCACGCTCCAGCGCCGGGGTTTCCTCTCGTTCTCCGCCAGGGCCTCCCCAGTAGGCAACTTCTTGAGGAACTTCTTCTCCACGTACTTGACCTTGATCCAGGCTTCCTTGTCTTGCCTGAGGGCAGTGCAGGAAAAGGCATTTACTGTGCCACAGGTGGCTCATTTAAACCTACCAACGAGAGAGCCTGGCAACTGCAGGCTCTTCTCACACCGCGAACCCTGAGAGCACATGGGGAGGGGCTGGCCTCCCACGGCGCTGGGACAGTTCATGCCCCTGATGCTCAGGCCAGTGAAAAATGTAACACCAGGCTTGTTTCCTAGGGTGGGGCACAGCAGGGTTGCTGCTAAGCTCGGGTGATCAGGGCAGAGCATCCTGGGCCCGGCTCCCCAGTGCCTTGGACCTTGTGAGGCTGGATTTTACACCCACTTTGTAAATGACTATGGGAGAGGCGAGGCCAGGAAGAGCCAGGCGCGAAGAGTCAGGATACCGGAGTTCTGTTGCTAGCTCTGCCACTGACTCACTCTGTGGTCTTGGGCATGTCACTAAAGGCAGGTTTCAAAGTAGCAGTCGTGTTAGTCTGTAGCCGCAAAAAGAACAGGAGTACTTGTGGCACCTTAGAGACTAACCAATTTATTTCGGCATAAGCTTTCGTGGGCTACAGCCCACTTCTTCAGATGCATAGAGTGGAACACACAAACAGAAGATATTTATACATACAGAGAACATGAAAAGGTGGAAGTACGCATACCAATTGTAAGAGGCCAATCTACAATTGGTATGTGTACTTCCACCTTCTCATGTTCTCTGTATGTATACATATCTTCTGTTTGTGTGTTCCACTCTATGCATCTGAAGAAGTGAGCTGTAGCCCACGAAAGCTTATGCTGAAATAAATTTGTTAGTCTCTAAGGTGCCACAAGTACTCCTGTTCTTTTCACTAAAGGCAGAATGCTCCAACCTAGGGGACGAAAGTCAGGCTTCTAAACAAATGGCCTGGTTTTCAGAGACGCTGAGCAGCCGCAGCTCCCAGTGACTTGCAGGTCTAGGCTGGAGGACATGCTCTGGAGCGGCAGTGCTCTGAAAGGGGCTGAAGGCAGAGGCCAGGGCATGGCTGGGCCAACGGGAGTGCCTTCAAGGAGGCCAGAACTGTGGAGGGAGCAAAAGCTGAGGGGGATGGGAGAACAGGATCTGTCATAAAGACCTAAAAATAGTCCTTTCCAAGAAGCAAAACGAACAGGCGGTGAGAACGGATCAGAGCCGCTCGTTTTCTGGGGCAGTCAGCAGCAGGCCATGCTGTGTAGCTGGCCGGGGTAGGGCAAAGCTGATCTCCCTTTCCATTTGCTACAACACTTCCATACAGATCTACTGACTCCCTGCTGGCCTGCACCTCAAAGACAGATCTGCGGGGAGTCATTCCCAAACCGGACTGAGGGCTGGATGGGCTCCGACTTACCTGGAGCTCCCCGGAGTGGGCTTCTTAAGTCCCAGCGCTTCGCACTGTGCCTCGTAAATCTGGTTCATGGTGCTGTTCCCCAGCTCACACATTAGCTGCGATACACCAAGTGAGGGACAAAGCAGTCAGGAGAGCAGCCGCCTTCCGGCTCCCCCTCAGCCCCCCACCAAGGACTCCCTCCCCACTTCCTCAGCCTGAAAATCAGCACTCACTTTCAGTAACTCCGGCTCCCAGGAATCCAGCGTGAGAGAGCGGACTTTGGAACAGTGAACGCCCAGACTCCTAGAGAACCAAAGGGGAGACAGAGACGGGTTATAGGCTGCCAAACAGACTCTATGCAACAAAGCAGAACGGCGAGCGGATCACAGGGTGAATGAGGGCAAACCCAGGTCTTACGTATGCAGCAAAAGGAATCGATTTAGAGAGGGAGAGAATTCCACACACACAGAACTGCCCCCTCTCCTGGAGGGGTTCCCAGTGAATTCCTCAAACGAAAGAGGCGCCCGGTTGAGTTATTTGGCACTGAATTATTTTTATTTTTATTCTCCTTACTTACAGTCCGTCCTAGGAAATCTGGAATGGAACGAGGTTTCCCTACTTGACACTTGCATTCCACTATTGCATGTGAGTGCTGGCTTGTTATTGTAGGGTTGTTTGTGAGAGCTGGGTTGCACAACACACACAGGGTTTGTTATCACAGAGGATGCTAATAATACTACTAATAATTTACACGTGTATAGCACCTTTCCCCCCACGGATCTCAACGCACTTTACAAAAGTGTGCAGGGATTATTCCCATTTTAGAAATGTAGACAGTAAGGCACAGACCGGGTAAGTGACTTCCCCAGGGTCACAGAGTAAGTCAGTAGCAGTTGGGAATAGAGTCTAGATCGCCTGACTCCCAGTTTTAACCACTAAGTTCTTCATACATTCTAGGACAGGGTAGCTGGCAGTAGAGATCATAATAGCTTCTATAACTGCTGAAGATTTTATTAGTTAGTGTCTGTAAAATGCTCTGTAGGTGAAATATGGTAAGTATTTTACCACAGCCAAGAGATTACATTTATTGCTATGTGGTTGTAGGCCATGTGCTGGATCCTCTATATATAGGGTGACCAGATGTCCCATTTTTAAAGGGACAGTCCCGTTTTTTGGGACTTTTTCTTATATAGGCGCCTATTACCCTGCCCCCCCCCCATCTCATTTTTTCACAGTTGCTATCTGGTTGCCCTGTCTATATATATCAATGCTGCATATGATGTAGATAGAGACTCAGGCCTTGGCTACACTCGGGACTTCACAGCGCTGCCGCGACAGTGCTGTGAAGCGCGAGTGTAGTCGCACCGCCAGCGCTGCGAGAGAGCTCTCGCAGTGCTGTATGTACTCCACCTCTCCGAGGGGAGTAGCTTGCAGCGCTGCAGGCTCTGATTACACTGGCGCTTTACAGCGCTGCACTCGCTGTGCTCAGAGGGGGGCGTTTTCACACCCCTGAGCGCAGCAAGTTGCAGCGCTGTACAGCGCCAGTGTAGCCAAGGCCTAATACGTGTGTGGGTACACAGCAGTATATAGTACCCGTAGAGTGAGTGTATCACACACACACATCCTGTTCTGTGTCCCTCACTCTTTCTCTCTCCCTCCCTCCCACACACACACACACACACTCAGGAGTGTTCTATGACCTTTGAACCTGACTGTATACACATGATAGACCAGCTCCAACCAGAGCTCCCTCAGCGGCAGGCAGGCAAAGCCGCCAGGCGCTCAGGCTGGGCGAGCAGCGCACACACAGTACCTGTGGATCCCAGAGCACTCGATGCACAGCAGAACGCCCAGGTTGATACTGGCCCAGCGGGGATCTGCCTGGCCACAGTCACAGCACTGGTCATTTCCAGGGATGCTCTGGACCCTCTGCAAGATGCTCTCCCCCTTCAGACTCCGCTCCCGGGAGTCAGTGGCAGAGTCGATGCTGCTGGTGGAAGGGGAGGCGGTCCGGTCCAGTCTCTGCAGAGAGAGAGAAGGGGAGTCGCTGTGTGCTCTGCCGGCGGACAGATGCGGAGGAGTTCCGTGTGGTGCAGGCAGAGAGGCGGGCCGATGGGTTCGTTAGAACTTGCTCTGCCATTCCAGGGAGACATTACAGAATCATACTGGGAAGCACTGGGGTGGGGGGGCATTAAAATCCCAGTGTGGGCTTTTTATGTAACCGTCACAGGTGAAAAAAGTCAGCTAGACAAACCTGAGCTGGTGTCAGCCAAGGGAAGGGAGGGTTGAGGATACCCCGATCTGTTTACTCCCTTTGAATCGGAGTTTGGGGATGTGAATGAAGGGAAGCGTGAATCTTCCACCTGTACTAGTGACTTCTGTCAGCAGATGGCGCTACACAGCACAACCCTCTCTTCCCCCCATTAATACACACCAAGGCTGGCAGCACACAAATGATTGCATGGTGTGTAACGGACCGCTGCCTTGTGTTGTCTCATCTTACCAGAGAGTGAATTCCCCTCAGTGTTCCCCGGGGGAGTACATCCTGCTCTGCAGGGACTCTCTGGAGGACAGGAGGAAGGTGGGGGCTTCAGGACTGCACTCCATCACGCCCCCCCCCCCACTGCTTTGTAAGCTTGCCTTTCGTTTGCTAAACTACAGTTGCCTTTGGGCCGGCGCTGTCATCATTTGCACACCCATACGTGCGAACAAGAGCCCATGCCCGGCAGTGGCGCTGCGACAGCTTGCGAGCACCTGTCCCTGCCCCCGGACTCACTTCGATGGAGTAGCTGTCTGGGCTCTCTCTGTAAGCGGAGGCAATGCTGGCTTGAACCGCTTGGATCCAGGCCTGGCGCAGCTTCTCCGAGTCAGCCTGCAGCATGCAGCTCCTGGGTAGGGGAGAGGCATAAGAGACGCTGGTTGGCATGAGAAAAAGGGCTTGGGGTATGGGACCTGGGAAGCCGCAACACGGCGAGGTGCCTGAGTTTATAATCAGCCTCACAGCCTAGCTTCACCAAGGGTGACGATGGTATGGTTTGGAGATGCGTGGTAAGGACGTGAAGTTACCAGGCATGGCTTGGGGCAAAATTAACCTCAGAGAAGCCCTCACTTCTCACCCCGCCCCAGTTCATTAAAGCAGCCCTGCTTTCACCCCCACCACTCCCAGATACATAGAGGGTGGGTGGAAAACAGGAATGTGACCGTTCCTCTCCTCAGTGGGTGCCTCTGTTTCCCTCACACCAGCTGTTCACTGCCCACCGTGCTGCTCTCATTAGGTTTCGGAGTAAACAGCGGAATGAATCCCCCTCTCCAGCCTCAGCAGAGCAGTGAGGCTCGAGTGCTCCTTGATCCCCACGCAGCCTGAGCAATGCCCCCACTTCTGGAGCTCAGCCCGCCCGTTAAGGGGTGACAGCACCATGGCCTCCTGATAGGACACTCACAGCTGGGGGGAAATGCATTATGGATGCCGCCAACCACACACACATCTCGGCTTCCCCTCACCACACACTTGCAACCCTCCCCTCACAAGTTCCCTCCCTCATCAGCCCCCTACTCCCTCCCCCTCGCACCACGTACTCCGTCTTCCTCCTCCTCCACCCACACAGAAAATCCCTCCTTTCCTCCCAACACACACACTCCCCCTTTCTCCCCCCCCCCGCCCACCGGCATCCTCCCACTTATACGCTCCTTCCCCTCACACACCTGCTCCCTCCACTCTGATGCTTTTAATGCCACCAGCAGCCGGCTGCTTCTTGGGGAGCCATGCTGGTGACTCAGCACTTTGTGAGGCAGGCCCAGACCCTTCTACATTCCCTTCATGCATTATTCAGCAGCTTTGGCAGCTCCCCATCCCGACAGGCCGTCTCCAAACACCGCTCAGCGTCTGGTTGAAAAAAATCGCCCACTGATAGGACTGCAACTCTGAGTGCAGGCAAGGAGGTCCCCAGGTCAGAATCTACTTGCTGGGTATCTTACAACCCCATATACGGTCCCAGTCTTGCATTCTGCAGCTTAGAAGAGCCGCAAAACTTACTTGCTCGGTGAGACGACCTCAAAGCAAAACCTTCTCTCTATGTCTTCGCAGGGCTTGACAGTACAGAGCCGCAGATCTTCCACCACCACCGTGAGGACATCCTGAAAGGAAGAGAGCGGGTGACTTTACACTCCTCTCTGAATCCCCATCCTATTCAGCACTTTTGCTGACCCAGCCAACCTTCTTTGGTCTGCAAGACTGGGCAGGCAAAGGCAAATCCCATAACGATTCTCTCCTGACGTTTCTGGTGCTTCCAGTTTAGGGCCAGGCTGGAAATCCTTTGAGAACCGGCGATCTCATGGTATTTTAGCACATGCCAAACCAGCAGGAACCCCGAAGAGCAGGGACCTGATATCTAACAGGAGGAACAAGCTTTTCAAAACTCAGCTACAATTTGTCTTGAGTTGTGGACAAAGGGTCTTGTGGGGGGGGGGGGGGGAGAGGAGGGAGATTGTGTGTGTGTGTGTGTGTGTGTTGGTGGGGAGATCATTGTGTATACAAGCCAGAGGGCCCATCCCTGGAGCTCATTTCCCTACCAAATCCAGGAGAACACAATCAACACAACTGCAGACTGATCTTCAGTAGGTGTCAGGCGACCACGGACTATCATGCTGATCAATGCTGTCTCATTGTTTCCCAGTACTCCCCCCGTCTGTCTGTCTGTCTGAATCCATTTGTTGCCTCCTGTCTTATAGTGAGATTGCAAACTCTTTGGGGCAAAGGCCGTCTTTGTGTTCTGTGTGTGTACAGTGCCTAGCACTATGGAGTGTGGTCCATGACTGGGGCTCCAGGTGCTACAGTTATACAAATTAATAGCAATAATACCACAGCCTGGGAGATACCAGCTCAGAGGGAAGCCCCACAGACCGTGCCATTGTGCTGGATTTCAGCATACAACAGTGCTGTCTCCTGCCTCTTTTCCTCTCAGACAGACAAAGGAGTAACCAAGCCCACTTTCTGAGCCCTGCCGATTGAGCCCACTACCTCCTGACGGGAACGGAGATTGCCCCATGGAGCACCCACCGTCCAAAGGTGGCATATCAAACCCGGGCAGGAACGGAGTTACTCAGCACATCACCTCTCCGTTACTCTGTCGGGCAGCAAGACTGGGGTCATTATAAACACCAGCCGCTGTCCTTTGGTTGTCAGAGCAGCTTGGGTTCTGAGTGTAATATTATCTGATTGGAAATTTCAGACCGGGTTTGCTGTCAGATCTTCATCTGATCCAATTCTTCTTTCCCCCATGGTGCCCAAGTCCCCAGAACAGCAGGACATCAGACAAGTTGGCTAATCTGCTAATGCCATCTGAGATATGCTCACTGACCTTTAGCTTCTTCTGGTAGACCAGCTGGCTGTTCTGTATGGAGAACCACCTCCTGAGGAGAGAGAGGAAAGAAAGAGGCATCAGAGCAAGTGAACAGTGCCAAAGCTAGGGGGCGGGGGGAGATGCAAGCTCCTTTTCCCTGCAGAACAGGACATCGCCTCTGCACTTACAACATGTGCCATTGATTTTAGGGATTGTGGGAAAGACCAGGGTGGGAATAAGACTTATCTTCCTTCTGAGACTAAAGAAGTGCTTTGCAATGTTAATGGATTATTGTATTTGGCATCGAGACACTGGGGTGACAAGTGTCCTCGATACTTCTACAGAAACATTGACATACGGGAAGAAAGACAGAAAGATGGGGAGGGATAACATCAGAGTTGTACACTTTGTTTCTTAAGTAGGCCAGACCTCTTACCCCCCACTTGGGAGTTTGTGGCGGGAGGGAGAAGCCTGGCTGAGAGAAGTGGGGATGACAGGGCCGCCTTGGGGAGAAGGAGCAGGCCAGGGAGCAGAGGGGAGTGCAAAAGGCTTCCAGCAGCCTGATTTTGACTAAAATCACAGTGGACCCATTTGATGCTGCAGGCAGAGGATGCTCTGTGATGCCTGAGCCCTAACCCCAACCTTTGACCCCTAACCCTAAGATCACTGGCTTTCCCCTGTATCCACAGTGACTCTGCTCCCCAGCCACAGGCATCTGTGAGGTCACTGCCTCAACCATGTATCCAGAGCGACTTTGCTCGCCAGCCACTGTCCTATGGGAGAGCCCTGCCCCACCCCTGTATCTAGAGCCTTTCGAATCCTAACAATTCGATTTGTGGAAATCCGGCCTTTCCGGTTTTCTGACTTTCACCAAAATCCGAAGGGACGTTGTGAGGCCTAGCCATCCGTCCCCCACTCCACGGTTTTCCTATAGCACGTATCACCATAGCACTGAAGAGCACTTTACAGCTGAAAAACGAAGGCACGCGCACACCCAGATTAAGTGCTTTGCCCAAGGCCACAAAGAGTCAGTATCAGAGTTGGGATTATAACCGGGGTGTTCTCACTTCATTCCTGTGATTTAGCCACAAAGAGCCTGTTTTGTCATGGGGGAGCTGAGGGAATTGACAGCAATCCATATTGTTACATCCCATGGAGGCTGTGTTGAAATATCTGGGCGCACACCAGGGTGAGGGAAGAGCTCAAAGGCCTTGAATCTGGATGTTTTGGCTGGCGTGAGAATAAGTCAAACTCTCCCATTGTTTTGGGTCGCTGGTGTTTAATATGAACTATATGGGCCCGATTTTCAAAGAAGCCTCCTAAATCGTGTCTACAAAACATGTGGCCCTTCTGTTTGAGCAAACAAAAACCCTGCATTTATCGCAAACTCTCTGCATAACGTTTCTAGGGTTACTCGTTAAGTAGGGGCACTCGAGTCAGACTGAAACTCCTACAGGGCTTGGACAGTTTGGGGGAAGAAGCCATGCTGCAGCTATGCTATAGACAGTGGATTATTTAAAGCATCTACCACACGCTTGACACGCAAAGGAATTCGGTACCCTGGGAAAATGAGGCAAGAGAGGATTCTGTTTTCAGCTCCTTGCTTGAGACATTGCTCATAGATAAAAGGTGCCGATTGTAAAGGACTTGATGCCAGCTCCGTATTATTGCCTAGGCCGACAAGGCCTAGGCCTAGGGCGGCAAATTTGCAGGGGCGGAAGCTCCCCTCCACGCCCTGCCCCCCTGCTCCAGCTCACCTCCGCCTCCTCTGCAAGCGCGCCGCCGTGTCCAATTTCTCTCCCCTCCCAGCGCTTGCGCCACGAAACAGCTGTTTCGCGGCAGAGGAGGGGGAACGCCGTGCGCTGGGGGAAGAGGCGGGGACGGGGATGGGGACTTTGGGGAGGGGGTTGGAATGGGGGCGGGAAAAGGGTGGAGTCGGGGCGGGGCCAGGGCGGCAATTATTTCCCGGCCTAGGGGCGGCAAAATTATTAATCCGCCACTGCTTGATGCGTCTGCCAGAAAACAGAGCAACGCAGGAGACCTGAGGCCATTCTGCCTGCTTGAAAGCCCCTTTTGATCAGCCCCTGAGTGTGTTTGGAGCTGCAGCACTTTGAGCTCCACCTGGTGACAGCCATTCTCTCTGGCAATGGCAACGACATATTCTCAAGCAGCTTTGCTGTCACATGAAGCCAAGTGGAAAGCTCCCTTCCCAGCTGTTTGATCCTGGATGCTGCTCCTCACAGCACTGTATCTCCTCCTGTTTGGTTTCTTAGCTGGGGCATTAGCATCCAGGAATGCTCTGGACTATGGTGCTGGATCTCATTCTGACCTCAGGGGTCTTCTTCATCCAGTATCCTTCTGTGTAAGTTTCCAACAGGGACTTCCTCCCAGGGCCCTTAAAATCACCATAGTATCTTCCCACCCACGGTGAGGGGGATATGCATGGCTGTGAATAGCTGAGCTGTGGGGGGATACAGATGACTGTGAATAGCTGAGGTGGGGGGATACGGATGGCTGTGAATAGCTGGGCTGTGGGGGGTATGTACAGCTGTGAATAGCTGGGCTGTGGGGGTATATGGATGGCTGTGAATAGCTGGGCTGTGGGGAGATATGGATGACTGTGAATAGTTGGGCTGTGGGAAGATACGGATGGCTGTGAATAGTTGGGCTGTGGGGGTATATGGATGACTGTGAATAGCTGGGCTGTGGGGAGATATGGATGACTATGAATAGTTGGGCTCTATGGGGATATGTACAGCTGTGAATAGCTGCCTTGAGGGGAATGGGGTACCTTGCTCAGAACTCCCATGGATCGTCAGCAGGGGTGAGATGGGGACTCACTTATCCTGCAGTGTAGGAGCTCATCATTAATCTGACACATAGTGGAATGGGGTGGTGGCCTTTTGCATCAGGAAGCCTGGCTCTGCTGAGTGAAAGGCTGAGAATAGAGCCAAAGCTCTGCATTGGAAATACTGCGGGGAAAACCGTAAATGGTTCATAAATTCAGCTCAGAGGAGTGCCCTGTAGTTCACAGGTTAGCAATCGCCAAATCCAAACCTCTGTAGCCGGGGGCTGGAAATCTCACAAGAACAGCTGTTCTCTTCACAATCTGGCGCTTTGGCTTCTGGTGCCTCAGGAAACCTTGAAGTGCAGAGAATGCACTTGAATGCCATGCAGATGGCAACACTGGGGCTAAGAACATCAGACAAACTGGTTTGGAACGGCAAGAAAGGCCCAGCTTGAGTTGGGGGTGAAGGTTTCGGGAGGGAGGGGCTTACCCCAGCTTACCGGTCTCTAGGCATAAAACCAACAGTTTCTGCACAAAAATACAGGGACGTGGTGAACTGCTTGTTTGTTTCAAACTTCTACCTAGCCGCAGAAATTACCCTGAACTTGGACAGACAGGTGACCTCTAGGTATTATATCACTGCACTGCCAGGTGAGAGGGGAAAGCATGAGTGGGTCAAGGGGGGCATTGATCTGATGTACTAATAATAGAATCCAATGGTTTGAATTCTGCTCTTAACTGCACCAGCATAAATCCGGCCCATTGACTATCACAAGGGTTCCTAGACACACACAAATATTGATTGAGGAGAGAACCTGAAACCCGCTTTGCTTGCAATTCACCTGGGAGCTGGGGAGCCTCCTGAGCTGAGCAGGAGGCATTTATTTAACTGCATCCCCAATGACCCGTCATCTGAAATATTTATAAGTGACCGAGAGAAGGGGCAGTGCCCAGAGGAGCCAGATCCTGACATTTCCAGGCTCCCACCTCCCAGGGAGGTTGGATACTAGCAGCTCTTGAAAGCCAGGCTTGTCCTGCTGTGTTAGATGTTTCTCTTGATGGTTACAAGCATACAGCTTTCCTGGGGCAAGGCTCCAGCTGCTTTGTGTCCTACGCTCCCTGCATGAAGCCTGGTGGTTGTCTTAAGATGGAAGGTTTTCGCTGTCACTTACCAAGAGGCGGCAAACTGCAGGCAGGCTGACTGCACTGGTTCACCCTTTAGGATTATACCAGTTCTTAGCAAAGAACGAACTAGGCTAATGCCAATGCATGTAAGGTCTCCCACTGTACTATTTCCATGGTGACCCTGGGCCCTGATGGACCAGACTGCAGGTAGCTGGTAAAATAAAGAAGTGATAACAAAAGAAAGATTCACTGACTTTCAGTGGGAGAGCTGAATGGTCCCACAAACATTTGCAGGGCCAGGAGAAGCCAGTTTATTTTGCAGACGATCTTCACTACCTATAAAATACATAACATCCAGCTCCTTTTACTGAGCCTAAACCTTTCTGTTTAGAACATGCCAGCATCACAGGACCCTTCTTATATTAAGTGACTTCACAAGTTCAGCACACAAAGAGTTAAGGGATGCTGCACTGACAGACAACTCTGCATCAACCCAACATCACTTCTCTGTGTGGGCCTGGAGCTGATGAAGCCACTTAAACAAAGGAAAACACCTGCTGAGTTGTAGCCAAGTGTGCGCTGCCAGGCTGGAGATGCATTCAGAGCCCTCATCCAGTTATCAGTTGGGATACACGTTACTTACCGATTCCATGTTTTGAAAGCATTGCTTGCTCTCTTGAAGAGGTACCCTTCCATCACCACTCCATTGGGGGCATCGACATTAAATTCCACTTTGGAGTCATCGTAGGAGAAGTCCTGCAGGTCGAAACATGTTGAGAAAACACATCAGGGCATGCTGGTGCTGCTCAGCGCCACAAGAACTAGGGCAAGGGGCACGGTAAAAACAGCCAGATAAATGGGAAACGGTGACACCAAACAGCACATCAGTGTTAGGACCATGAGGATATCCAACCGGGAAACATGTGAACACGTGTAAGAAGGTTCTGTGGCTGCAGGGGTTATTTAAAGCAGCCTTTCCCTCAATGGAGGCCTATGCGCCAATCCTTGATTAGGTTGCAAGAGAAAATAAGTTTGCTGATCTCAGCCTGTGTTTTCAGTGGAGGCTGGTTTGCATCTTGAGAGTACTTCCTCTTTCGGAAGTAATCCTCATGATGGCCAGACTCCGGCCCAGAGGTTTGGTCAGGACTCAGGTGTGGTGGCAGAGCAGAGTGGCATTCCAGGACTGGCATAGCTGAGGTGATACTCCTCAGGCTGGAGGAATACCGGCAGATCCAGAACAGGTGAAAGGACCGTAATAGCAGAAAGAGCTGGAGCTCGGGAGTGGGGTGCATGGGTGGAGCTGGGTTAAGAATTAGCGCTGAAATAGCGGAGGTGGTGCAGGACAGCTGTCGAGGCAGATCTCTGCCCATGAGAAGCTTGCTCTATCTGGTTGCATTTAGTGCTCCCTGTCTCTCACTGTCATGGCTATTCACAGTCTTCTCCACAATTTTTGGGGTTGTCTTATGGCCTGAGAAAGTGTTCACAAATTCAGTTAGTTCGAGTATTTCCCACCCTAATGATTTTTTTTTGTGGGGGGAGGTGTGGTGCTTAAATCAGAGGGATTGTTCACTGCAGTGCCAAATTACTCCAGTTTCCTGGCTTAGGGTTTTATCAGCCAGGTTTAGGCAAAATAAGCCCTTTTTTGAAGACAGTTTTACGTCATTATTTTTTGTATTAAAAGTTCACCCACAAACCACTGTCTCCTGCTGGGCATATTTTCACACAGCACCCCTGAAAAACAATGCCAGCAGAATCCTCTCACTCACATTACTGCAATAACTGGGAGCCATTAATTAGTCTCACTCCAGTATCCTTAGCTGTTTCTATTGTTAGGTGTTAGTAATGCGCATGCAGTTAACCACTGCTCCTCCTCCAATGAAAGCCCTGGCTACCCTAGCAGCTAAGAAGAGAAAGTGTGGGTGGCTTGGTATCTTGATGGTTGAAAATGTCCAACCTCAAGTGCAATCTGCAATTGGCAGTGAACAGACAGTGAAGTGCTGTTCAGAGGTTAAGTTATTCTGTGTAACTGGGAATTGCCTGCCCTGGATGAGCCCATGATCAGAGCAAACATGAGCTCGTCACCATGTAGCTGGGGACAGGGTCAATGGATGGTGTTTTCAGGAGGGAGGAAGGAAATCACCAATCCTGTTTCCAGTTAGTGCATTCCACACACCAGCCCCGATCTTTACTTATTCACCTGGCAAACAGACTGCCAGTCACATCTTTACCTATCTATCACCCTGATAGCTGACTTACTGAGTTTGGTATTGCTGTGCCCGACAGATTTCATGCATTGTGGTAGCACGTGAGCAGGGTAAAGGGCTCCAGTAACTGTTCCCAGAAAATCCTCATGGAATTCTGCTACCAGTGGAGGGCAGTATCTCCTGCCCGATGGAAACCAGGTCACGGAGCCTGAATTACTTTCCAACCTAACCTGCAGTACTAGGAAGTCTGTTCTTTCCGCAAGCTGCCTTCATCATTATATAGTACTCTGCAGCCAACTCCTGCTGGTATAACATGATCCCGAGAAAGGTAAAAGACAATCCAATGGCTGGAAGTTAAAGCTAGACAAATTCAGACTAGGCATAAGGCATACATTTTTAATGGTGAGAGTAATTCACCATTGGAACAATATGCCAAGGGCCATGGTGGATTCTCCATCACTGGCTATTTTTAAATCAAGATGGGATTTTTTCTAAAAGCGCTGCTCTAGGAATTATTTGGGGGAAGCTCTCTGGCCTGTGTTATACAGGGGGTCAGACTAGATGATCACAATGGTCCCCTCTAGCCTTGGGATCTGTGAATTTATGCTCTTGAGCATAAATATTTCTCTCCACTCTGCTAGATTCAGAGGCCCAGCCGCACCACAGTAAAAAGCATCATCATTAACTTAAGTGCCTTTACCAGCCCAGCGCATGGAGACTCTAGTGATGCTGTGTTGCTAGGCAACACGCACTTCAGTCTCATTAGGATGAGTTATTTCCATGTTCGGAGATGCCAGCTTGCCAGGGAGATATCATAATAAGAATAATACTAGTGGAGAAGGAGGAGATATAATGGGAGAAGACTGAGTCATTTCTTGAAAAGGCAGCGTGACGCCCAATTAGCCAGGAGAGGCTACGCTGTAAGGCTCCCACTTAAAGGGGGTCCACTCGGCCCCAAATTTACTTGCCATAAAGGGGGGGGGGGTGAAGCCCATGTGGTCCCCTTTGTGGATGCTTTTGATGTAGCATTACAAAAAAAGGCAGAAGGGATTCTGATCCCACTTCCATCCACAGCCAAATCTATTGGCTGCAGTGGAATTACTCCGGAAAGACACTTGTGTAAATGAAGTCAGAATCTGGCCTGTTTGTTTTAGTGGAAACACTGTGAGCCACCAAACAATGTCTTCTTTCAAAAATGCATGACAAGGCTAGGGCATGAGATTTCCAGTGGTCAACATTCAAAGTCAACATTTGCCAACTGATACCATACACCTACCACAGGTATTTCCTGTTTTAGTTAAAGGGGGATCTGGGGGCTCTCAGGTTCCACAGAGTGGAAACTACTGATAAATACGCTTTAACTTTGACAACTGTGTTGTACCCGACTTTAGGGAAGAGGTATAATTTGGGATCTAAATATGTTAATCAGGCTTCTTCAGCTGTCCCAAAACAAAAACACGCTTATTACAACAAGGAGAGAATTTTGCTGACGAATGCAAGAAGGACAGATGGGCCATATGCATCCACTAAAAATCAATGGAGTGACATCAGTGGAGTGAATTCAGCCCTGCATGTTTGTATTTTATTACACTTTTCCCAATTTTGATTGGCTAAACATGGTTCATGTGATTCCCCTTCTCCCCATTATAATTTCACAGGATTGTCTGGAAAAAAATCAGGTGACAAGTGAACTGTATTGAGACTTCAAAAACAAGGGCGACAGCACCTGGAGAACTTCCTGGCCTTTCAAAAACCTCTATTTGGCCAATCTTATCTTTAAAAAGAGAGAGTGTGTGTAGCTAGAGAGATAGATAGTGCCTAGCACAATGGGGTTCTGGTCCATGGTAGAGGTTCCTAGGTGCTACCACAGTACAAATAAATACTATTACTATATACACACGCAACCTACATATATTACTAATAGGAAATTGAGATCCACCTTGATTGGTGTTGGAAGCTGGCTCCTCTAAAAAGCACACAGCTGGAAAAAAATGATATTTGGGTGCATTACTTGAACACTACTTTCTCTTTTCTAATCCACCACCTTTTAGGGGGGAGGGGTGTCAGAAAAAGGCCCTGGACCAAACTGTGGTCTCAGTTACTCCGGTGTAATTCCCAAGTAACTCCTTTGACGTCAAAAGAATTATGCTCGGGTAACCGAGAGCAAAATGTGGGCCCTAGAGCTCTAAGCTGGATTTGTGAAGTAGGTCCAAGTATAGGAAGATCCTGTGTGTGTCTTATCCTTGGGAACGTACCCATGCAGATACTTAGAGGGGGAATGCATTTTGTTCAATCACAGTGGACTAGAGGGAGGTGGTTGGGGCCGTCACTACAGAATACTGCAGTATCTAAAAACAAATGAAATCAGAGAAAGGGGAGATAAGGGAAAAATCCAGCATTCCCCCTCCCTCCACCGAAAAATGAGATTTGTTTCCCCTTTCCCACTGAGACCAAATAAGAAATGTATGGAGATGGCTTGAGGCTGAACAGCAAATAAGGCAGGATTCAAGTCAGTTTCATGTCCCTGCCATTCACAGCTTGCATCCTAGAGGATTGACTGCTATGGGCCTGGGGAGACTGTATGCTCAGGTCCATTCAGAGAGATGCACAGAGGCAGCATTACCCTTTGTCTTAAGGAGAGATTTAACTCTTCTGGTTCCAGACTGAGAAGCGTGGCCTGGGCAATGCTGCAGTGTCTAAGCCCTGTGTAAATCTGCAGGGCCAGGTCTCTGCTCCGCACTCCTTTCTTAATAAATACTAATCACCGCATAGTTAATTAAAATTAAAAACCCTACAGTTAAAATCAGCCAGGATGCTGTGGCTTACAAAACTGATTCCTGTGCACGTATCTCCACATTCCCAGCCCACATAAAGATGTTTCCTCCCCTGGCATGTTGGCCACTGAAAAGAGAGGGAGCAAAGAAGGGTGTTCTGGAGGGGGAGCTGCTGGAATACCAGCCATCTGGCGAAATGTCATTCCCAGACCCCTGCCCTCGGATTCTTGATTCGTTATAGCCACTGGCATTGGAAGCTCTTCCCGGCATCTGAAGAAATAGTGCTGCAACCTATGTTCAAATAACATCAGGGTGCGGCCACTGATAGATACAGCGAATGTGCGAAAACAGTACTGTCTCACCCGACACACCTGCCCCCTTTCTGCACGTGTCTGGCTCACATCTGCTCACTTCACGGACTCAAGGAAGCTCTTAATCCTGTTAGCCCTGCAGAGCGGTTCAAAGAGCCCAGGGAGACCGAGCACAATTCTGTGCCTGCCCCACACACATCCCCATCATCAGCCGAGCCTCAGTTAAGTCCCTGCGGCTGACCCTTTATTAGAAAGGATGCCATGAACCCAGCTGGACTCTCCAACCGCAGGTGGAGTGAGAAAAAAATCACCTTTCTGCCTTGTAAGCCAAGTAACTGTCCTGGGTCTACTCACACTCGTCAAGGCTTGATGGAACAAGACAAGGGGCTCCCGCTCTCGCTCAGGCTCCTGCTGTTGTGTCATCTCTTACACGTAACTGCACGTTATGGTCGGAGACTCGGCTTCGA